ACGCGAGGACGCTGGCATCGGACGCATCTATCGAAGATCTCATGATGCAAGCAAGGAAGATTAAGTACGACGTCATCGGACTGACCGAGACAAGGAGGCACCACCCGCTGAACGCCACATTTGAGACTGGAGAAGAACTGTTTCTAGGAACATGCGACAGTCGAGGAGTAGGTGGAGTGGGAGTCCTTGTCAACACGAATTTGGCCATGAACATCGATTCGTTCGAACAACTTACAACTCGAATCGGACGTTTGCGAATATCAAGATGTGGATCAATCCCTGCCTTGACCGTCTTCATTGCGTACGCCCCAACATCCAGCTACGACGAGGACGAACTCGAGGAATTTTATATGGACTTGGAGAAGTTCTACAGAGAAGATCATACCTTCTACAAGATCATCGTCGGTGATTTTAACGCGAAGATCGGAACTAGAAGGTCGACTGAGGAACTTCACATCGGAACCCATGGTTTGCAGTGGAACGAACAAGGGGAGAGACTGTCCGAGTTTATCATGACGACGAGGACTATCCATGGAAACTCACAGTTCCAAAAGCCCTCTTCCCTACGCTGGACCTGAGAATCGCCCGGCGGAGAGTACCATAACGAGATTGACCACATCATCGTCAACAGAAGGTACTGCCTGACGGACGTCGCTGTTGTTCCGAAGTTCTGCACGGGATCAGACCATCGTCTCCTGCGCGCCAAATTCTATTTTCCGCGGAATGGAGAGAGAGCCGTCAAGTTCAGGAAACATCGTCCCATGAATACCACCAACTGGGATCTGTTTTCTTCGATATCCGGCTCATGGCGAGATACCGTGACGGACAACATCGACGAAGAATACGAACGGTTCGTACAACATCTCCACGGTTGTGCCAAGGAAGCTCAGAGTCTAAGAAGTACGAGAAGGCGTCTCACCACGGGGACTTTGGAGCTGATACGCCAACGTGGACGCGCACGAGCCACAGGCAACTACCGACTGACGTCCGAGCTTGCGAAGCGATGCAGAGAAGCGATAAAAGAAGACCTTAAGGAGAGAAGAGTAGCAGTGATGGTTGACGCCGCGGAGGCTGGAAGAAGTATACGCAACGCCCGCCGAAGCTTCGTCAACTTCAAGACAAAGATGACCGCACTTCGTCGTCCTGACGGAACCATAACTGCTTCCCGAAGATCAATGGAGAAGGTCATCCACGACTTCTACTCGGATCTTTTTGCGAGCCACGTCCACCTTCCACCATGCCATCTCAAGGAGGACGAGTATGTAGTATGTCGCACCGTCTGTTCTTCCTTCCGAGATTTGTCATGCTATCATGTCGATGAAAAACCGTACAGCACCCGGTCCCAACAGGATTAAGCCAGAACATCTAAAGAATCTTTCGCCAGTTCTCATCAAGACTTTGGCAAGGCTCTTCACGCGGTACCTGACGGAAGGCAAGGTTCCAAGGCAATGGAAGACCAGCAAAACCGTGTTGCTGTACAAAGGGAGATCCCTGCGACATCGGCAATTATCGCCCTATCTGCTTGTTGTCTGTAGTCTACAAACTCTTTACGCGAATCATTCTCAACAGGATCGGAAGAGAGTTGGACGAAGGACAACCATGCGAGCAAGCTGGATTTCGAAGAGGATTCAGCACGATCGACCACATACACACGGTGTCAAGGCTCATTGAAGTGTCACGAGAGTATAAGATGCCGCTCTGTCTCACCTTCATCGACTTGAAGAAGGCCTTCGACTCGGTTGAGACTGAAGCCGTCATCGATGCCTTGAGCAATCAAGGTAATCCGACTCATTACATCAAGATAATTCGTGAGCTGTATAACGACTTCACAACCTCCATAACACCATTCTACAAGGACATCATCATTGACGTGAAGAGAGGCGTGCGACAAGGCGATACTATATCGCCGAAACTATTCAGTGCCGCTCTGGAGAACGTCATGCGTAAGTTGGAATGGGACAACATGGGAGTGAAAGTCGACGGCCGGCAGCTACACCACCTTCGCTTTGCTGATGACATCGTATTGATAACACCAAGCATCACGCAGGCGGAACAAATGCTGGCCCAGTTTGACGAAGTGTGTGGAAAGATCGGTCTACGGCTGAATCTAACGAAGACGATGTTCATGAGGAACGGAAGAGTGCCTGATGCTCCTTTCATGCTCAACGGGACGAACATCACCGAATGCTCAAGCTACACCTACCTAGGTCGTGAACTCAATATGATGAACGATCTAGCTCCGGAACTGAGCAGGAGGAAACGTGCAGCATGGGGAGCATATAAGACAATTGAGGACGTAGTGAAGAAGACCAAGAACATCCGGCGCCGCGCCCACCTTTTCAACTCGACGGTTCTTCCTGCTTTGACGTACGCTTCAGAAACATGGACAATGAGAAAGCAGGATGAACACGCGGTTAGCCTCATCGAACGAGCTGTTGAGAGAGTGATGCTAGGAGTGAATCGACTCACGCAAGTGAGGCAAGGATTACGAAGTTCTACCCTACGTCATCGATCGAAGATCAGGGACGCTGCCGCGTACGCCAAGCAGAACAAGATAAGATGGGCCGGGCACGTAATGCGTTTAGACGACAACCGGTGGACGAGAGCTGTAACAGATTGGATACCACTGGACGTCAAACGCGAACGAGGAAGACCGCCGAAGCGATGGTCAGATATGTTCACGAAGTTCTCTAATGAAGTCCTTCAGAGCGTTCCACGTGTTCCTGGTGCGATACGTAAACATTGGTCAACAATCGCCCGAGACAGGGACGAATGGAGGCATCACTGGTACCCGCTCGTGCAACACGATGATCAACGGGGATACAGGTGATACTTTGCGCGCGAGATCTCGAGGCAACGCTTCGGCTTAATCGCGATTGTAGCAGAATATATGTGGACGAAGTGAAGGGCGGGCATACATCACGTTTCATCACCTCTCAATTCTCCCAACAAGACAACTGTTACCAGTTCATTGCATGCTGATGAGTTCTCCTACACGACCAATCGAAACTAACTATCACAGTCAGAATGCAAGATGGTCGGCATGCAATGGACTTGTAACAATTGTCTCGTTCGGAAAATCGCGGGGCGACCGCATGATGTATGCGCCTCCCTGAGAGGAAGAAAAATGAAGGGAAGAGTTAGGACCATGGCCTAACTCCTCAAGATTGTGACACTGAAACTGAGGTCAGCCTACCGCAGGCACGAAACGTTCCGTTCGTCCATGCTTCCTGGTTCTGTACAGGGATAGCTATATTTGTGCATTCTTTCATGATTGTTCATTTTGCATTAGAAGGTTTGACAGTTCCCTAGTGGGTCGTTTTACATGATAGCTTTGGTAAGCAATGGCGGGTCCCGGGATTTTCGTTCGGGAGCGGGGGAGGGGAGGGGGGAGGGAAGTAAATTCTTTCGAGTGGAGGTGGTAGCATTAGAAACGCACTCAGAAAATGTTTTTGAGATATTCCCAGAATTTTTGCGGGCCCATAATCCGGAAAATCTAGGAAAAGGGGACGCGGCGGCAATCACGCAATCGAAAAAATGTTTTACTGGGCGAGTTTGAACTTCTAAAAATCTCAAAGTTTATTTTACGTATATACAAGTATAAATAAGTCAATTATTAATAATTATTAATAATTGACTTATTTATAGTACTTATTTACTTATTTATATAGTCAATTATTAATTACACATTTTTAGAAGTCACCTTAGTGATTTCCAACCACTGTAAGCACATTTCAAATGTACAGAAGATAAAGCATTTCATTAGTCTACGTAAGTTATACACACTGCGTATGTGCAGTTTGCTAGCATTGGATTTGAAGATTTCTGGCGAGTCGCCAAATCGCGTCGCGACTGATATCGCGTGAAGTATGCCCGCTTTATTGGCCTCATGCAGAGTTCAGGCGTTTTTATTGCCTCGCGATTCTCGCAGCAGACAACAGTTACGAGTCCACTGTATACTGATCATCTTGCATTTCGGTTGTGATAGTTCTCTCACACCACTAATCATGACTAACCGTCACAACCGAAATGCAAGATGATCACAATGCAACGGACTTCTAACTGTTGTCTTGTTTGGAAAATCGCGAGGCGATGGAATTGAGTGAACTCTACCCAAGGCCATAAACTCAAACTCTCATTCAGTGTTATGCCAGTAAAAAAAAGTACCAGATAGTGCGTTGGCCTACTATCTGTCTGAGGTTGTCACTCGCTGAGTTTGGTGGCTTTTGCAGGAAAACGGACCGAGATAATACACCCTCCTCTCCCGGAGAGGCTAATAATAAGTTGCAAATCAGTCGATATCACATGTTTATGAAGGCGATTGCAACGCTGTCCTACTCTCGAGTTACTCATTCAATTCGCGTACTTATCAACGGTCAGTAATGTTATTATGTAACCAAACGTTACCACAAACTGAGTAGTATCGGCACTACAAACAAAGATAGTATCTGTTTATTTATAGCAAGAAAAATGATATAAGCGATTTCATGCAAATCATTCTGAGCACATTCTTCATCAACACCGTTAGGTAAAACTGGTTAGTACTAAACACTCTAATATCAATAAATAAAGGCATAGCGGCTTAAATGCGCATTTTCAGCAAATACAGCAAACTTTTCGAAGGAACGTGGGCAGCTCCCACATAGCTGCCCGTAGCTTCACAAGATCCTCTTCAAGCTATACACGAATGTACCAGAAATGATTATAGTGGAAAACAACCGTAATGTTTTGGAAATCGAACTAGACAAATGCTCATGAAAAGTTTCACAAATGTAGTGTCAAGTGAAAAATGCTGAGATATAACAATATCCATTTTGAAGATCGCGTCGTACAGGGTTAGAGATGGTTAAAAAAACACAGAACAGCGCTAAAGGCGATTGCTAGTCACGCGATCGTTCAAAAACAATATACAACACAACATTCCATGCTGAACTCATTCTCATGCTCTTAGTCTCAGAGCAAAAGTCGCCATAAGGCCAGCACGACAGCAATGAACATACCGGTGGTCGTGGGTGTCGTGCTACTTGAGTGACCCCTCGTTGGAGTCGGGCTCTGCGGTTCACCCGTGGGCCAGCAGTCGGGACAGGCATCGGTCAGCGATCGAGTCTGTTTCGCCGCGTACGAAGACTTCATCTGTTTGATAGATAAACTAGCAGATGTCAAAAAAACTGGAGTTTTATAAGCTAGCTTATTAAAACTCTTCATATATGAACAGAAAGGGCAGAAGAATCCATAGGAAATCAGCGTACCTGTTCCTCTGGGTTATAGTAATCGAATAGAACCATTTGCGCTGGCTTCTGATCGGCAACATAGTATGTCATATCGGAATACAATGACAAGCAAACGGGTGTGCCGCCGAGCTGAAAAGAAAATCGGCATGCTTTCAAAGTCATACGTCGAAAGTTTTAACGGAAAATTTTCACAGTGAGGTGGCGCTACACACTTCGAGACAACCTCTTAATAGCTTCTCATGTTCTTCAAAAGCTCAATATCGATAAAAACATCCAAACTGAAAACAAATTCGTAACCTATTTTCAACTATCTCTACACTGTGCGTACTTCTGTAGGCCTTCGCAGATTGAATCTTTTATGAATTTGGATGGCCACGATTTCAGTTGACTAGTTCGTGCATACGAAAATGGAATGGAAGACTCAGTTTGAATAGGCGCAAAAATTTTGATTAAGTTGTTTTAGCAAATGAGTCTTTGCCGCATCAAAACCTGGTTTACCACTGACATAAAGGATACTCGGTCGAGGTGGCGTTTCCAAATGAAGTATAAACCATTATAAAGCATGAAACGCTGATTTCGGATCTGCCTTCCATATCTGCAGCGCTCTTCATGGAGGGAAGTTATGGGTATTTTTTGAGGCAAAAACCGAACTCGGCTACTATAAAATCATTCAAAACTGTAGTTTGTTAGCTCAAACTGGGTCATAATTATTGTCACGACGCTTTATGCAATAGATATCTTCAGCCTAATTAAATTTTTCAAACATTACTCCTTTCAAGTGCCCAAAAAACTTTAACACCTGTTTTTACCTAGGCCAAACCCTTGGATTTACACTTCAAAAGATTTCCTCGACTCTCCTCTCAGAAGCGCTTTGCACTTTGCACAAAAACAGAGCTAGAATCAGCGTTCCATGTGCTTTAAAACAATATCCCTTTCATACAGACACTTCGACCAAGTATTCTTCCCTTGTGAGAATGCCTGAAGACTCACCGGATTGAAATAGATGTTCATCTTCGTGTCGTCACGGTCAAGCTCAACTCGTTGCAAATCGGAAATTCCCGTAAGCTTACCCATCTCTTCTTCATCGAATCTGGAAACACTCATGTTTAGCTGTTTGGTAGACGGTGGTTCTGATAAACCGTACTTGTATCCTGTCAGAGCTTCCACTTCTGCCACTGCCATATTGGACTTGCCTGCACTTCGTGTGTAGCTGGAAAGACGGTTCAAATATGCAGATATTATAGTATTCTCTCAAATATTACTTGCAACAAAGATCCAACTGCATCCTGTTGCCATTGCGTAATTCTTTCAGGTCCTTTGAGCAGAAGAATGGTGAGTCGTCACGAAGAGAGTTGCGATGGTAGGAGTACGAAACCTAATTTTTATTATTTTATTCGGCTGCCTCATTATACAGGGTGCGTGAAAAGTCTGGGAGCTAAGTTAACCATATTGTAAATTACAGAACTACCCATGATTTTGATTCCAGCTTTGCGCCACATAATGCTGCAATCATCCTCTACAAATCACAGTTTACCTTGCTGGAAATGCTTGCCATACGCTCTTGTAAGAATTGGAAATATCAAACAAAAGCTTACGCGGAGCAAGAAAACCAAATGTTTAGGACCAACATTATTTTGTAGCTAGAGATACTTTGATTAATCTACAATCCCGATGCATACATTGTAGAGAAGGTTTTGCGCTATCACATCGTATTTGTATTGTATTTGCATTTGCCAGAAGTTGTTCTTTCAGAAACGAAAAATAAAGGTTTGTCAATGTTACCTGCGTGCCATTGGTCATCTGTCTTCAAAACAAAATTGAAAGCTATAGAAGCGCAGCAGGCACTGATTCCTAGGCTGAAATTCTTTCTACAAGTCTTATATATAAGCATCCAGTTGAATCCGTCAATGAAACAATTTTATTACTTCTTACGTTATGATTTTCCGCTTTTCTTCGCCCAATGGCACCAAATTTCCAGTATGCGAGTACACTTGCCTTCAAAAATTTCAAAACTTTTATTTCTAATACTGCGAAACATTTTCTTAGAAGTATGTTGTAGACAAAATCTTGCTCTATCCTGCTGCATATTTGCTTAGTGAAAGAAGCATTTATTGTGGAGGCGTTGGACGAATCTTATTAGGACTACCTGTGTGCCACGACAGTTGGACTCGCTGCGATTTTGAAGGGTTGCTTTGGAGCCCAAAGAACCAATCTCAAAATTTGAGAGCTGTGCTGTATTTGTAAAGGTTCGAATTATATGTCGAACTTTTTGTTTCTAGGTACTTTCCTTCTGATTTTATCTGAACAAGCACTAGACTCCCACTTTTGCCGCACCCTGTATTGTATATTCCTATCAAGGGTTTGTAGGAACGATTTGGAACAGAAAGAAAAATGGGGCATTACCTGAGCGAAGACTGTGCCCTTTCCAGTAGCTTTAATGTCGACGTTTTGATCAATATTTGGCAGCTGAAAATATCTCATTCACAAAATATCACATTCACGGCTCGGCAAGGCTGACTCTGGGTCAAGCTCGATATTTTTTTGGAAGAAAAAGCAAAGGGGTTATCGTTTTTTGGACAAAACGACATAAAAATTCAACGTTTTTTGGTCGACGTTTCTTTTTTAGGGTTTTTTTACGTTCATGGTTCAAAGTCAAAGGGGACTTCGTACAAAATTTTCGAGTGAAAGAACATCAAACCTCGTAGCTTTGCAGAACGATGGCATTCCTCACAGAAACACCGAATGCATGATTGTCAGCTCCGTTGCCCACAGTGACTGTCACATTCGAATCGCTCGAATATGCATGTTCAGCATAGCTGCCCAGAGCTTGCAGAGCAATTACAGTATCTTGGGTGGATGAGAAGCCACCATAGGCGTTTCTCTGAGCGGTGAGCCAGCGAACTAGAGGGAGACCCTAAAAGTTGAAGTTATTTCTAGATTATCAAAGGATTGCACTGCGTCAGTATAAATGGTTGATTTGAAGCTCCAGTTCTCTACAGCATCATCTAGATCCCCCATTCGTTTCCCACTTCTTAATCCAACTATAACATTTTTGATGCTTATAGAAACCACAGCTATGTCAAAGTAGACAATGCTATGGTAGAACGCCGAACTACAAGAAAGAAGAATTTTTCAATGGAGGAGGTCGTTACCTGCTTCTAAGGCAGTGTCTCCCATTTCTATAATAAAAGATTATATAACGTTTTGCTTACATACCTTTTCTGTTTCAGCATCGAGCATGTAGCTGAGCAGAACGTAGCCAGTAGTTTCAACGTCAACCGGTCGTGGTTGATAGAAATACTGAGTGGTGTCCTTCGATTTGTCAATGCCTTTTGAAGACGACCAGTGCACTGTGCCGTCTGAAAGAAAGCTGATTAAAGGAGTGATGTGGTTATCATCGAATTGGGAAGAGATAGTGAGAAGACAAAATAGATTATACATACAACAGAATATCACTGAAACTATGCATTGTACTGGCGGACCCAGCTGTCTAAGTAAGCATCAGAGGCAGTGTCTCGGCAGAATTTCGTTTTCCAGTTTTTCACATTTTCAGCGCATTTTCGCCATGATGCCCACCTCTGGACTTTTTAGCGCAGGAAGACGGCGAAAATGACCTTTTTCCGAAGTTTTCCAGGTCTGCAATCGGTGGAGAATACGTGCAAGGGGGCGGCGCCCGGAACGAGGAAGGCGGGGTGAGAAAGACCTCCAGCTTATCTTCATTGGTCGCGGATGTGGAAAGCTTTGAAAAGCTCGTTTTTGACATTTTTATGCGCTGAGTAGTCCAATGAATATGGATTCCTCGTGGCGAAAAGGCTTCGAAATGGTGAACTGGAAAACGAAGTTCCGCCGAAACACTGCCTCTAAGCTTTTTTTCCGATGTAAGATAATTTCTACCTTTATCAACAATCTGAAGTTTTTCTAATGCTTCCAGAGCATCCTTCTTCTTGTCACTATTTGCTAGGCGAAGTGCATAAGTTGTTACGGCCAACGCATATGGGTCATCCTTCATATCTTCGAGATGTTTCTCCAAGAATGCAATCGCATTGTCATTTCGTATCTGAGAGTGCCAAGAATGAAACTAAGCACAGAGAAATGGCTGACGATTGCACCCACTCCATTCTCGAGAAGAGCCACCACAACGTAGGCTGTCAGGCCAAGACCTCCTTCACTGGCACCACCTTGCATGTCTTTGTGATGCACTTCGCCGTGCTCAGCAAATGCGCCAGTTTCCTCAAAATAAATGAATGATTTTGTCGAATGACGTGAAAATAGTGCATACCATTTGTTGTCCATTAAGAAAAGCTATGCTCTTGGTCAGTACGGTAGGATCGACGAAGATGTAAGAACGGGCCTGAGCGAACGATCGCACAACGAATGCGGTCAGCCATGTGGAACCGAATTTGTCGCTTTCACCGAAGGCAGAGAAGGAGTTATCGGATCGCCTAAAATCACACAGCACTATTTTGTTTACTAGGTAGAACCGACAATTTCAGTATGTTTGAAAATCGTATCAGAAGGAAAGAGCTGTGAGCTGTGTTAGATGTACCTGTATGTTAGCTCTCGCTGATAGCCAGCTTCCATAAACTTCACAGCTTTTCCTTCAATTGCAGGTTCAGCACGATTTGTTGCTTTTAGGTATCGTAGCACGACAATGTTTGGCACAAAGTTTAGCATATTCTGTTCACCGCAACCATATGGCATTCGTACGAGTCCTTCGATATTTGACAGTACTGGACCCATGATATCACCTGGAAAGATATGAATTGAATAGCTTTTTCCAGCTCTGACAAGATTTCAGTGAGATTTTCTGAGGTGTGGGTATCATATACATCCTAAAGAGCAGTCCTTACCGACAACCTCAAATCGTGCCTTCTGCGACCCTTCCACAACATCGCTAGGCCACAGTAGCTGCACGGTCTTTTCAAAACCTGTACCATTGCTGAGATCTATCACCACAGGAACGTTGCGATCCACACGGTAACCCTCAGGCTGCAAGGATCCATTATTTTTTTTTACAAAGTGAACTGATTCTGAGCATCGATAAAGCGCCAAACAAACCCACTTCAACCCTCAGTGGCTCTTCGACACCGTCACTGGCTTGCGAAGCCTGCGCTTGTACTGTCAGCTTTACCATGCCGATTTCATTCGGGACAATGGGGAAGTAGACGGCCTTCGAAACGCCACCTCCAGGAACAGAGAGTACCCGCATATTATAGGTTCCTTCATCAGCATCGCGACTGAAAGAGTGTAGCTGTGCAAAATTTTGGGGATTTTGAATAAACTACTGACAAACTTCAAGACCCATAAAAACAGGGTTATACAAAAGTAGATAAAGTTCACCTCTTTCTGATGCTTCCATCTTTGTTCAGAAAGTCGAAACCTGATTCATCATCATGCTTGAGTGTGACCGTTACCTATAACGATTGCCTCTAAAGTAATCGGTAACAGAGCGCGGTAGATACTCACATCTTGTTCCTTTTCCATGTAATTGAACACCAGAACTTGCAGAGCAAACTTTTCTCCTCTTTTCACTGAGTACGGCAAATTGAGACGAATGAAGAAAGGACGGAAGACACGAAGCTAAATTTCTTCATGGCAATGACCTCAAAAGATCCAAAGGTTTACCTTTGAGGTAGTGGGTGCCACTCCCAGCCCGGAATTGTCATTAATAGCAAAAGCACTTGCTACCCAAGAAGTGATCGTATCTGGTACCTTCGACTGATACACAGCTTCTCCATTGGCGCTAAAACAAAACCGTGAGTTTAGAAGTGAAGGAGCAACTTACTAATCTGTTTTTAATATGTCCCGAACTTTTATTCCCCATTTTCAAAAGTTATCAATTCCTTGATTGCGCTAAATCAATCAGATATAAATCTCTTGCACAATAAATTTTATTTTTCAGATATATTCTAAAGATATTTCTTTCATCAAGAGTTTGGGCCCGAACCAACTTATGTCATTAGCTTTATGTTTGGAGAGGTTTTGAAATTTATAGCACAGCACGCGTAACTCTACCTAAACCTAAGCACCATCCCACCTTGATGAAGTCTCTGTATAAATCCACACTATAGGAAAATTTCTTCTGTAGCGCAAATATAGCGTGTGATCCCCAGGAAATCTCAACATAACATTGCGCAGCAATATTTCAGAGACTGTTCCTCGCATTTCATAGTAAAACGTCACTGTAAATGCAATGCAAATTCTACAATAGAATCACATCAGAAAAGCATATTTCTAGGTACCACTACCAACCTGATACTCAAATTTTTTGAATTAATTTCACTGCCTCTACAAAGTTAATTCCTACATGAATAATTCACGCAATTCTACTCTTGAAATCGTCTAGGAGGAAGTTTTGCATGGGCTAGGAAAGGTTCATAAAAACTTTTCTATTTGTTCTTTTGAGGTTACACTCTATAAACGCACGCACCCGTATGAGTAACAGAGTAATGGATAATTGAAACTGTATATTCTACCGACTTTGGAAATGGTATCTGTGTCAAGCAGTGCTAAATTCTCAGGGCTTATGAAATGTGATTTCAAATGAACTGGCCTATAGAACAACTGACAAATGGAGTGGGTAGCAGTGGCCACTTTTCAAATTCAAAAGTAAACTTGACAGCCTTATCAGAAAAAAATTCGAGCCATGAAGTTATTGATTTATCAAGTTTCCGCCTCACCTAAAATCGAAAGAGATAAACAGCCAGGTTTCTGGAAATTTCGATCTAATTACTACTGGATTCGAGGCCGAATTAGTGGCCGGTTGGTCGGCTACGATAGCGACTGCTTCCAAGGCGACTCCGTCAAAACTCATGTCAAGTAGGACTAAAATAGTGCATTTTCCTTCGGCAAGTGCTCAAAAGCGCACAGCAAACCAGGTAATTGAATGTACCCAAAGTGTTGTACACGCTGCCACCCTAACTGAGATTATACAAGAGAAGAAACTCATTTGTTTGAAGAAACTCAACAAGGTAGAGAAAGGAAAATGAGAGCGATTTTCATACTCTCAATTCATGAAGAAAACAGATTCGAGAGGAAAGAGGATAGAAACAAATGACAGTCAGATTGAACCCAAAAGAGCAGAGCAAAGAATAACCAAAAAAGTGGAAGTTTTGAAAGAAAGGTCAACTAGCAGAATTCTGGGCTTTCCAATTAGTCGATGGGATATTTGATCTTTTTCTGCAGTTCCGGTACTTTCTCTCTTACTGAAACCTACAATCTCGCCAAACTCTAAACTTGCCTTGTGTCCTGCAAGACGAAAAACCAAGATTCAGGGAATTTAGTACGTATTCTTGGAGCGGAATTATCATTCTGTTCAATACTTATATCGTTGTCCACGGAAACAGATGCTTCGTCAACTGATTCCTCAAATGCTACCGACTCTGATAGGAATTCTAAAAGATTTGGTAGAGCTGAGTGTGCTGAGTGCTGAACGTTAGCTTGCTTAAAGCAACGATACTAATTAGAAATGCACTTGGACTAGTGACATAGAAGTTTGCTTATAACTGAAGAGTTGACAAACTCTTTAACATGTCTAAATAGATAGAAGCCTATCACTGGACTTGCTAGACTGAGGCGTGATGCGTGATGAATTGCAAGAACATCGAAGAACTAAGGTAAGATGTAGAATCCGATTTTAGAAGATATCAAACCGTCGTCGCGCACTCATTGCGAAGCGAGGTAGACTTTTTATTGGGTTGTCTCTTATGTTTTTTTAATTCTGATCTTTCCCGCAATAAGTCACACATTCCTCTGGTTAGAATGCAGGGTACCGTTCGATAGAGCAAAGCAAGCTCTGTAAGATGGCGCTGAAAACTTTCGGATGCCAGAAAAATTTCTCATATCTGCCTCCAAAGAAATCTTATCAGATCTCAAACATGCTCACGTATATACACCACATAAGACAATCATATGTGTCGTTGCTATGTCTGTTTCGTGCTGGAAACTGAGAAAACTGATGTTTTTGAAAGTTTCAAGAAAGCGATGCTGCGCTGTTTTTACATAAGTAAATATATAATACTACAGGTAGCTTTCCATCTTTCCGAGAGCGTAATGTGACTGTACTTTCAAAGGCTTGTAAGAAACATTTACCCATGTGTCCAGAGCATCATGGCGTCCTTTTATGGAAACTTCAAAATTTTGGTTTTCTTTGTTTCTACATAGTACAGAAGCAAATACAGCAACGGCAACTTATGAATGTCTTATGTGGAGTATATATGCTTGAGCGAGTCTGGAATTTGGTAAGTTTTCATTGGGCAAAGATATAAAAATTTCTCAATTTTTCGGGCATCCGAAATTTCTCAGGTCTCGGTTTTAAGCTCGTAATGTGCTGAAGCTGGTGCGAACTTATACACGCCCCCCTATAGAGCTTGCTTTGCTCTATTGAACGGTATCCTGCCTTCTAACCAAAGAAATGTGTGACTTATTGCGGGAAAAAATCAGTATTAAAAAACTTATGAGACATCCTAATACATCGATCCGATAAAATTTGTGGCTCTTATTTCGCAGCGTTAATTACAATAATTCAGCGCCCAATTAACAACCAAATTCTCCTCAGCGTAATACCTTTACATATCCATACCGTTCATGTCATGTGTCGAACCCTAGATACAGCAATCTGTGCGAGTCGGGTTATGAGATGGTGCTACAAATTACTTTTTTCTTAAAAAGCCAACAGTTCTATCCAACCAAAATTACTGCTAGCTCGTAATTTCATTTTCTGCAAAATTATGCTCTTATCTAACTGCTGAGAGAACCAATAAGTAAGCATCTTAAAAGCTTCGTAAGCATTCGATCTTTCAGTAGTGAAAACCGCAGCCCTGGCAGAATCCGCGCGATCCTTAATAGCAGATGACGACGGATGTGGAAATGGCGCTAGAGTCTGGATAAGGATTTTGGAAAAATGATTCTGTGGGTGACGCTAAAAGCGCTTTTGTAGTATGGCAAGCTGGTGAAAAAGGACTACAATCTGGTTGAATAGGCTTTGTAGGGCATTTTGTTGTGCTAACAATTTCATATAGGTTCATGGAAATTCAGATAATCGAATGAAGAAGGCAGGCGGGCGAGGACTGCATAGCACTTCAATACAAAACCATCACCATATTGAGAACCTGTAGCGATAGTACCTACAGTAGTTGTAAATGACCAACGGCTTGCACGAACCAAAGTAACCTTTCATGGTGCAATAACTAAAGCAAGCACGCACTCTGTATCGAAAGAGGCCATGATCCAGCTTTCTGGAAATTTCGTGCGTAGCTTGATAGGAGGCCTAGACGGCGTAACGACCGATGCACCCCTTTTCATTGCCACAGGAAAGTCTGCCACGAGCCCAGTTCTCTCCGACAGATCTCGCATCATGGGCATCGCTTCTCGAATCATGGGCATCGCTATCATCCCTGTATGTATGAATTTCACGGATTACCATTTCATGATGCTCATGCAGTTTCCATCATGTACTTCATTAGAATAAAGTCACATTAAAAATGTTAATCACTCTGGTGCATACGGATTACAAGTTTGGACTGCAATATTTTACAGGGTCTCAAACTTTGCAAAGTCCGGAAAATGTAGTGTCAAAGAAAGTGAGTTTTCAAAAAATTCTAGGTATCGAATCTGTTTCGATATATGCAAGCGCGGACATCCATTCAGATACAGTTCCATGCGGACGGACTCTCTACTTTAATTCATCGGTCTCGGACTTTTCGGACATTTCCACTTATTCAAGACTTTTTTCAAAGACTCATAAATGCTAAAAAAAGACTTCATAAAAAGTGCTAGATGGGTGAGGCGTCTTTGGCCAACTTTTTAGGCTATCATATGGTAGGGCCAATCAACCAATAGCCGCAGATGGGTGGAGACTTACAGAAAAATCAGCCAATCATAGCCCTATTGGTCAATCCAATCTCCAACCACCCGTCAGACTGCGCTCAAAGCGCCCAAAAAGATTTTTTCATCCTCTCTTCACATTTCTCATCTCTTCTCACTCATGTTCCGCGCTATTCTAAAACGCTAGCGCGCTCACTTGGCAGGCAAGTGCTATCTACCGCGGGACGGTAAAGTGAGAAATGTGAAGAGATGTCGAAGAGAATTGGGCACTTTTTTTTGAGCGAAGTCTGACGGGTGCTAAAAGGTTGGCAGTCACCTAATCAGCAAAAAATTCCCGATACTTATTAAAAGATTTTTGATAGCTTACGCACCCTGTGCTATCATCCACGAAAATCCACGTTTCTGGAAACTCTGTGCGTATTCTTACGGAGTCAGGCTCACTTGTTGGGGCTATCGCCCCCATTGCCATAGTAGAATCAGCCATTGGAAGAGCGCCTTCGATACTGGCAGCGCCACGAGCAGCGAACGCAGGAGCATCGAAGAAAACTAGACAATTATGTCAATAAAGACATCATTGTGGGGATTGAAGCAACCAAGGGTCGCACTTGGAAGCGACACGAATGGTGAGCAACGCGATTGCTGTGCCAAGACTACTGACTACGGAATGAAAATCAAACGCTTCTGCATGTTTTAAGCTAGACTAGCACTGTGAAAATCGTAACATCGCCGGTGCATGAGAGATTGGCTTTGCAACATGTTCGCAGGATTTCTGATACGTTCGAGCCACCATCTGAAGGCCATTGAGAAATTGAAGAAAGATCGCTCTCAGGGATTGGACAAGCATTATTTTGTGCCAAAAAGGATTGCGAAACATTAGCGAAGCATAGCGTCTTCGATTTAGCTCTTATCCAACCTAGTTTCCTGCTTTCTCAGATGTTTAGAAACAAATCTGTCTTCTTCAGATATTGCAGTTCACGAAGCGCTGAGCTGGTCCATTCTTCACAGTATTTGATATGCGAACACTATGAGCAAATAAAACTAGCTCCTTTCCTTGGAGAAAAGTAGTATGGGGGATGCCAGATATTCTTAAAGATTGCCGGAATTCAAAAGAAAAAGGGAATTCAAAGACCATAAAGATATAAAGATTATTACGAGCAATTTATAGTCCCAAATTTGAATTCATTTTCTTCAAAATGCTCGTACACAGAAAAAATACTATGGCCTATTCCTCCCCTCTCGCCCTCACTCTTCCTCTTACCCTGTCCTTCCCTAATTTCCATTAAGATAACTACTTTTGAATTAGAAGTCTCATGCAATTTTTGGCTTCCTCCAACTGAAGACTCTGTCATCGACAATCAAGCTCTGAAGCAAATGCCTATACCGTTGACCTAATACACAATAAATATTTGAACATATACCAAGGGATTTAGAAGCCAAATTTGTGCTGTCAGGTCATACAGAACTCTTTGTGAAAAGGTATTAGGAGAATATGTGTAGCAGGGTACCCGAGCATTAGAAATTATGTAAAAGTCAGTGACATTATCTCAAAATACTCAGTGACTGCTTGCACTGAAGGACGCATAACATGAAAACGTTTTCACAGCATAGAATAGGCAACCTGCCTTGTATTACGAGCGAGAAAAGCCCATGTTTCGGGGAATTTTGAGCGAATCACAGGAGTATTACTTAGACTAGCTCCGTCTCGAACCTCCACCTCATCGAGCGATTCTTTAACAACATCTTCCTCAACTGCAAAAATGTCAAAAGTGTAGTAGGTAGATTGAGCGCATGAGCCCAGAATCCGAGCGAAGCGAGATGCACAAATGAGGTATGTGCTACTAGTTGAAGCAGTTGTTATAGCTACTTTGGTGAGTTTTTGACAGTTTTGCGTTACAAGGAGAGTGTATGTAGATTCTTTCAAAAGCCTCGCTAAAACTAAAAAGAAGTTGCGCCGTACTCTATATCAAATTTGAGCAAAATTTTATATGCCAGATAGATCTCCTTACCGATGGCAGGAAGGAGATTAAGTACAGATTTAAGTTTTACTACGGCTTTCTTTATCTCTTTCCAGAACTCTACAGTAATACCGAACTGATGGTGTCCACATTTAAAGGCAGCGGCTCGGCTCGACAACCTTGAGATATTCATCATTCTTGACTCCTTTGGATGAGCTGATTGTGAGTCTGAAATTGTGCTTTACAGCTTTCAAAGGCAATGGCTCGGGAAAATTGCAACTGCGCGCTTCCTCTTCCTCCTTGGCCCTTTGAATGAATTTGGACCAGAGCTGTGCTTGAAAACTCAAAAAAGTGCTTTTTATGGCGTTTTCCCGCCTTAGGAATTGCTGAGGAGGCTGGAGCGGAGATTCCCGCAGCCGAGTTGCGATTGGCTGCCTGGGCCAATCAGCCAATTGCCGCCGAGAAGGCTACGTTGTCTCCACTTACGAGCCAATCGCACTCTAGAGGAGGCTTGCGCCATTGCCCAAATAGCTTTTTTCAAGTCTGGAAAAGGTCATTGATATCTCTTGCCAGCACAGTCTTGCACCTAGCTCATCCAGGAGAACCGAGAACAATGACTGTCCCAAAGTTGTCATTCTGCCGAGTCGCTGCCTTCAAAGACACTGCCCTTCTAGATTGAGGCTAATGAGATCTTGATGTCATATAATGGAGGGAGCGCTAAATAAGCCATCGCCCAAGTCTCGTTGCAAAAAAGGAATTGCGACGCGAGAAAACACTTCAGAGAGTAGAAGCTGCGGGTTGGCTACAAAGCTCCGCCCAACAACGTAAGTGGCCTTAAGATGAAATGTTCAAAATTGGGCTCCAGCTTAGATAGAAGTGTTGAAAATGTGATAATCATACTGAAGGGCGGACTGCAACTCTAGATACACTAAAGCTCGATTTTGGGCTTTTTATCTTCGTCCACCCGTGTCGACGGGTGGCCAACTTGGAGCTTCCACCTTCTAGAGCGGTTTTCTCGCTTCGGATCCATCTTTTGCAGCAAGACTTGGGCGACAGCCTCTCCATTATATGACATCAAAACCTCATTACCATCATTTTGGGCGGACGGTGCCCCTAAATCTATATCATTTACATTTATTTGACGATAGAAACACAAAAGATTTGATGGCGCGAACATTATGCGGATCTGGGGAAACGGTTGCAAATTCAATCTGTTCAGAGTTTAGAGTGCGCTAGCTTGTCTTTTAGAAACGGAAACTTCTAAGACGTATTGGGAAATTCTAACTAGATTATAGCACTTTATCACCGGAACGGAGATCATCAATATTTTATGGGGGAGATACAAGCGGAGTAGACCCAAGTCATACATATAGATTTTCAGTTTCCAGACAAAATTTATACAGGGTATCCCAAAAAGATGTGCACACTGTTCGATTGTCAATAACTCTCTCGCTTTCATGTCTTTTGCCGGAGTTGAGGTACCATTCTTTAGAGCGAGGTTCAACTTATCTTATCTTAGATTTTTTCGAATATTCTATCAAAAGGCTTATTCCACAGTGACGCTCTATGCTGAAAGTTTATACCGTGATCCTACATTAATGAAGAGTGATGCATTCTTCGCTCCATGCTGCAAATCTAAGTTGAACCTCGGTCTACAGAATGGCACCTTAAGCTCGGCAAAGGACATGAAAGCAAGAGAGTTTTAACGATCAAACAGTGTGCACATCTTTTTGGGACACTCTGTATGTGTCGTATTTGATCCTGCGAAATGATTTTTGTCGATATCAGCAGAAAGAGGTTAACTTTGAGGAAAACGGCAGTGGTTATAAAAGTCCTGCTATCATTTCTCTACCTTGGGCGCATCAACTTTTTTTCGACCTAGGAAATATTTGTCTTACGTACTCTGTACTGGAATCTATGGCGATCCAAGTCTCGGGAAACTCAGTGCGAACCCGAACAGGCGCTGAAGAGAATGCACCATTTTCCGCTGGCGCCATGGGCGCAGCCATAGGTTCAGGCATAGGTGCAGGCATCGCAGCAGCAGCCGCCATATCACCTGCGCCAGCAGCAGCGAAGCTGACTTCGACAACTGTATCATACTTCAATTTAAGTACAAATATTGAGGCACGGCTGAAGCAACCGAACATTAGCGAGGTGTGGGATTGAAAGAAACAAGGGTAAAGGGAGAGAAGGCGGGAGGAGAGAGATGGGAGAGACAGAAAACGCCAAGGTTTAATTAGAAGCTGGGCTAGGTACAAAGTTAATTGCACTGGTAAAGCCAGATCTACCTCAGCGCTATGACTATGGTGAGCTTGTACAATTATTTTCCAAAACCAAAGCTCAAGCTGTTTATGTGCATAAGAGAAAAAGAATACAGTTAAGGCAGAATAGAATAGTTCATCATAGAATGAGATAAAAACATCTGCAGGCGTTGTATGTTGAGAACATGCGACAAGTTGGAGTTGAGTGCTACTTTACATACAGACTACCATACCTTTGAGGTATTTGAATACGCAATAGAAACCTGACTCGGGTTTTCCGAACCAGCTTGTAGGCGATGCCGAGGCAAACTTGGCTACGCTGGCCTCTTATGTGGGTACAAACTAGGAGGTCTTAATTGAACCGTAACTCTTGCGGCAGCTCCACTAATTCGATTTGGCCAAAAGATTCAACTACAGATTCTTGTCTGGTAACGTACTACTTACACAAAGAGGCCAATCATTTCGCTTCGAAAGATTACGATATTAACAAAAAAAATTGTTAAAATCCCCAAGAATGATATGAGGTGTTCCAGAAAATGGCTTGAGAAGACGCGCCATAATTCGTTGCTTAGATAGCTGTATCCTTCTTTGTTTATTCATCTTATGAGGGTTCTCATTCTCATACCCTGATATGTGAGCATATTGTACGCCAAATATGACCCTATAATATTTCCATTAATTTTTCCACTAATATAACCCTTGTTTTCAAAGTCTACATCTTCCCGTAGACACGATAAAAGCGTCGTAAAGCTTACTAAGATCTATTACACCTGTTTATATTGAAACAGAAGAATAAATAGAAATATTGAAATAAATACTTCAGGTTATCGAGATTGAAGAAGTGTTGATCGAGAGGGTGGTTTATTGAAAGCCTCACGACCTTCACATTCCATCCGTCCTGTTCAAATGCCTAACAACCATGATAATTCACAAAACACCGAAAATTTAGCTTATATGACGATGTCCTGGCATCCATTATGCTCGGATATCAGAGTATAAGAACTTTGATAAGATAGATGAACAAAGAAGGTTACAGATATCTAGAGCAGCGAGATATGAAGCATCTCTCAGTTTTCGTCCTTTCCCCCAGCGGAATGTACTGCATATGGGCCTCAGTCACTTCGCAACTAGGATTAAGGTCAGTTGCTAGGCACTGTCCTTGTCTGGGCTAGGTGTCGCGTAAGGAGAATATAAGGTTAAAGCAAACTGTTATACGAACCCGGATTCGAAGGAAGCGAATATCCAGCTTTCCGGAAATTTCGTACGAACTTTGACAGCAGGCGAAGTTGGCAAAGGTGCAGGAGCAATCATTGGTGGTGGAGGTCTCATTGGATTCGCAGCGAAACTGATTGGAGCAGGAAGGGCAAGACTTTTTGCAAAAGCAGGTCGACGCATTTTGAAGCGGATTCCTGGACAATAAAGGGGCATGCAGAGTCTCTTGCAATTGGAGTGCAGTATACAAGGGATTAAAATGCAAACCACAGTGAGGGTATCACCAATAGTGAAAGGATGCCAACACCAATTTGTGAAAGTAGATGAGCATGTTAGTAAGCTGAACAGCAAAATGCCAATCACTTGCAACCGTACACAAAATCCTAGAGAGCGGCAAGCTTCTGGTCAAAGGCAGTGACTCGGAAAACCGCGACTGAGGGCTTTTCACAATTACATGGCCTTCTGGATCAGCTGAGTCGGATACTGTGCTTGGAATGTCAAAAAGGTTTTTTTGGAGTTTACCGGCTTTGCAGATTGCTGGAGAGGCGGGGCGAAGGATTCCCGCCATAACCAGCAAGTGACTGCAGGATACTGTAACTTCACCTATTTTGGCGGCAATTGGCTGGTCAGCCCAGGCATCAATACGATACAGTCGACGGGAATCCCTCGCCCCGCCTCTCCAGCAATCTGCAAGGCCGGTAAAGTCCAAAAAAGCACTTTTTGAATTTTCAAGCACAGCAACCTGACTCAGCTGATCTAGAAGGCCATGTAGTTGTGGAAATCCCCCACTCGCGATTTTCCCAAGCTACTGACTTTAAGAAGCGTTAGAATGCTGAAAACGTTGAACAGTCGCTACTGTCCCCCTCTTCCCATTCTGTTGGCCATATTTTTGTCCATTAGTTTAAAGCGCTGATGTTAAACAACACCAATCGTCATCAAATTAAAGTTAACGAGATGCTAAGCGAGAAGTTTGTACGGGTATAAGAGCTGGACTGATGACAAAAAGACGATAGTTCTGCTCAAAATTTCTCGCGTTAATCTGCACATCCATCGAATCAATTTCCTTTATAGAGAAAAAACATCCCTACTAGCTCTGACTGAACAAGGCGAAGAGCATAACTTTGTAAAGAGTGAAGCCTTCTCATAATAATGATAATTTTATAGATTTTGAAGAATTTTTGCATTAAGGAATTTATCACCTACTTTGTGACGGTGGATAGAGAAATCCAAGTCTCTGGGAATTCACTGCGGACTTTAATAGGCGTGGTGGAAAAGGCTCCAAATTCCAGCATAGGAGGGATTTCGACCGGACTGTTCGGCATTTGCGCACCTGTCATTCCAAGTGCACCTTCGACTTTGAAACCACCACCAGTGAAGTATAGGTTGACTAGACAAAATTAATCTTTGTTGGAGGTTATAAGACAAGCTGTAATTAGGCGAGGAAGCTTCAAAGGAGGAAGAATTAAGAAAGCAGGAAGGGGAGGGGCAGGGGAGGAGGGAGGATTGAGAGGAAAGGGTGGGCAGGTAAGCTGAGTACGCTATAAAGGTAAGGCACACATCGAAATTGCGAAAGCCATTACTACTTTCAGATAGATTTGGAAAGAGTTACAATAGCGAAGAAAAAAGAGGAGCACTTTACTGGTTCCATCGGAGAAGCATGTGCATCATCATTTTCTGGTTGAAAAGGCGAACATGAGGGATCCGATTAGATCTGAACGGTCTAGTTTACTATTTTCTGCAGATGGTCTTAACTAAGTCTTCGTGTTCACTAATATCCGACAACATCTCTCTAGTGGTGCCATCCCTTTTGAGAACACTAGCTCTTGATGATCACTGCTACGAATGAGTGTTATTTGATTGAGGGATGCTTGGTATAGCTTTCAGCGAGGAGATCCAGTGAGGTGTAAAGGCAGAGAACAATTCCAGGGATTTCACATTCACATTGCCCAAAGTGCAAATGAACGGAGCGCGCTTTATGACCTTGAGAAAACAAGGAATTGAGGGAGTATTTGTTTAGTTATCCAAATACGAAGCTAAGATATGTGATACTTCTTTTCTATCTATCTAATCCGCCGGCTGAACATTGACAATGAAGAAATAAAATTGATACATATCTAAATTGATTCGCCGAACTGCACAAGGCCTTCATCAAATCCCCTCCCAATCTCACAAAACCCTAAATTCTACCCACTCTGTAGCACTTCCAATAACAATCCACGTTTCAGGAAACTCAGTGCGGATTTTCACGGGCTCGAAGGCGGCTCCACCACCGCCTCGCGCATCGGCTCCCGCAAATTCCCCTTCCATAAAAGGCATTGGAGCTGGCACGGGAGGTTCGAATGGCATTCCATCAATAAACCCACTTGAATCTACTTCCCAGTCCCACCAGAAGACTATAATTAGGTATTTCGGTGTCATCTATATTGAGCGGAAGCAACCAATGAAATACCCCAGATGGGTATCAAGGTTAGGTACGAAAAATAAGGAACTACCAGGCATAACAGAGCTAAATGATAGTTGTTGTTGTCTTCCGCAACAAAAAGCTTTGCTTGATTCAGATCAAACATAGCAAAATATCAGTCAACGAAGCAAGATTGGACTGTGGAAAAAATATGTTTCTTGCACTCTTACATCAGTGGATTGAAATTGGGCAGTACAAGTATAATTCAAATGTGGAAAATCTACTAGCCGTATTTCCTCTCACAATGAGCGCTTAAAATGAAAATTGTACCAAAGCTGTACCAAAGTCGTAAATAGTTCACTCTCAAGTAGTCTAATGCTTTCAGAGATACCAAGGTCTTTATCGCGGTCGCAAACTGATATCTATCAAAGTAAAATTCAAAAAATTTGCGTAGTATCTCCTCCTTGAAAGAGAAAGTAATCTATTGTAATCGTGATAAAAGGGCCGTCTCAGTACACACCGCTATGCATAACGCGATTTTTCTTCGCTTTTATATTGAGATAATGTCAAAAGGCAATGCTCGCTGATTGCAATGCAATTCGAAATAAGAAAAATAGAAACTCTGCTTTGCGTACTGTATCCCATTCTAGTGGGCTTCATGACGGTTTCCCCACTACGCCAGCGCACTGCGCTAATAGGCTGTATCACCCAGCATGGATCGCGGAAGCCCACGATATGAGGCTGCTTGAGTGCGCCGCAGGCGGCGGAAATGGCATGCGAGCGTGGGATTTCTCACCTGCGCTGGGCTCAACCCCGCGTTCTGGCAGCATCCGATCTGTAGTCACAAGTAAAAAGAAGTAGTACTCTACGTCATCTCTCTTTGGGTGTTTACCACACTTTTCCAAGTTGTCCAATTTTTAGTGCGATGTGTTAACTTGTAGTAACATAATAGTTGCGTAGTAATAGTCGAATATATCAAGGCCGGTACATCTTTGATCGAAGTCCAAGCTCGATTATCGATGATTAATGATTATCAAGGCCACTGCCGGACGAAGGCAAAATCAATATTCATTGCGAGCACGAACGCGGCGCCTGCGTATCTTCAACGTTATAAACCCTGCGCCTGATGCGCTCTGTGGGTAATCAAACCGCGTTCACGCTCTTAGCTCGTACGCCTTCTTATGGCAGCAGCCATTAATATGTACGAAAAAAACGCAGAGCGGCTATAACAGGGTACAGTGCTGATCGATTTCTGCAGAATAATAGAGAACTGAGCAGCGAGCGCGACGGTCAAGGATATTGATCCTGAAGAGTCGATACGGTAATTTTGGTAACAGAATCTTCACACATTCTAGGGCAAAGAGAAGCAAAAGATGAAATCTACAATCTGCCACCAGGAGCATGTGCGTATTAGAAGTTGCTCTCAACTCTTTTTCTTGTGGCTTTTAAAATAGTTATTTTGCTGATTATTTTATTCTAATATGATGTAGAATATGCGCTTTAAGCTAAATTAGACGAAAGTGGGTGCGATATACGTTTCGTTACAAAAATACCGATTATGCTCCTATGAAGGCAGTAGGCTGCAATGCCAACAATGAAAGAGCAAATATTTCGTAGGGAAGAAATTATAATGTTGAGGGGAGTCTTGCTACTCATTAGCGATCTTTAGCGCAAACCGCTTAACACTACATGAACACCTCCGTCTGAAAATCTCACAGTTGATATACCCACTTGGTGATAGTTTCTACGACGATCCATGTCTCGGGAAACTCTGTTCGAATGACTATAGGTTCAGGAGCCGCTGAATCAGCAACTGCTCCACCACCTCCCATGCCGACAGCCATGGGCATCGGGGGTGGGCCTGCTATACCCGGACCGGCAAATGCACCATTCCCACTCGAGTCTACTTCCCAGTCCCACCAGAAAACTAGAGAGTATATATTGCTTATATGATTATCAAACCGAGCGTAGGCAAATTAGAGAGAAGAATTGAGAATGCATAACAAAACAACTCATAATGCTGCTGGGAGCAAACAAAGGCTTGTCTCTGATGTAAACTCAAAACCTATCTGCTTTGATATTTTACCGTTTTTTTTTTCAAAAAAAAATTTTTTGTTTGATTTTGATTTCTATCCATAGTTCAATCAAAAGTAAGAACCTTGTAATAAACTTAACAACTACTGCTTCTTGTCGAACCTCCCTTGAGAACTTACATCTGAAGCTCAGTCCAGATATATGTTTCAGGAAAAGAAGTCCTCAGCTTCGTTACTGGCGCTTTTTTCGCCTCCACACTGAGTGGCGTGCTTATTACAACGAAGTCGCTAGTCGTCATTGGCATAGCTGACGTAAAGACCATGGGAAAGGCCGTGGTTGTGACTAAAGGCTTGAGACTATCACTGAGGCGGCTGTGATAAGGAGGAGGGGGAGAGGCTGAAGTGCTTTGGGTAATTGTGTGTCAGCGAGTAATAAGCATGAGTCTAGCAAAGGTCATTTTCGATTTGGCTCTAACTGCTGCATGGAATCTCGCTCGCTTTGATAGAAATAGAACCTTTTTGGACATCTGAAGTGTGCAACATCGAAGAAATGACCTTACTTGGCAAAGTGGTCAAGCCATAACCATGTCTCAGGGAAAGTTCGACGAATGGTTGGTTGTGGCTGTGCGGGACCGGCATCGGCGGACGCCGGCGAGTCAAACGCCACCGGCGCCGGAGCCATTACGGGCGTAAAAAATACGCGCGCTGCAAAATTTACTTCATTTCAACTCCCAAAGAGTGACAGAGATATACAACACGAGAGATTAGTGTGCTTCTTTCCAATATTTCACAATGATGGGACATGTTATAGCTTGCTCCACTTTTCGAATGTTCCGGAAGTGTGGAGCGAGGTAGCGATTGCAAAAGCTCAATCCAAAATCACCTTTGATACCGCTTCGTATCAAAAGCCTTCCGTCTTCCAAGAACAACCCGACATACTTATTCACATGATTGGAGTTAGGGGATGAGATAAGCAAAGGGTTACAAGTTGAGTTCTCGATAGAGTCTGCAAAAGATCAACTGTTCTTTGATTGCAGAAATTCAAATTGAGTATAGCCTTCTATTCAACTGGATTGGCGGCTGGAAGGCGGGGCTTCGTGACCTGATAAGGCTAGAGAATGATCAGAGAGCACGCGCGCGAGAGAGACGCAGACTGCGTTGCGGGCGCGAGCGGCCTTGATTAGGTCACAAAGCCCCGCCCAGCCGCCAGTCCAGTCGAATCAAAGGTTACCTAAAAGCGCGACGAAAGTGATCAACATCTTTTACACTTTCAGCCTTTATTTATCAACTCAGACCAAATTGTTGTTGTTAGGGTATTCGCTTAAGTAATGGAAAACTAAACCAATAAAAAACGTGCACTTTTTCCATCATTTGAAACAGTTGTGAAGAAACACTTAGAAAATAACAGAAAATGGAAAAAGCAAGAGTAACTTGCAACTCCATGCGACATCGGTCTTTCCATATTTTGGAAACTTCATGATGTCCCCATTGACTGGCATTATACATTTCATTTCCCCGACTCAGGGAAGAATCTCCTAATCTTTCAAACTTATACAGGGTGTCCCAAAAAGATGTGAACACTGTTTCATCGTTAACACATTGACGACCGCTTGACACACCATGTGTGTCAAACTATGACTACCACGTGGGACCGCTTGACACACATGGTGTGTCAAGGCTTGAACTTCGTTAAAATAACGACCATTTTGGTACAAACTCATTCCAGAAGTTTTTCTTTGCTCTGAATCTAGAAATGACTTCTATCTTCTTTGTCAGCCCTTCACAGCTACTGTAGGTGTACTGTAGATGGCAGTATGCGCGATTTTATCTGAAAAATGATCACTGGTCCGTGTAAGGTTTTGCTCCCAAGAGGCAGACATCAAAATTTTGCGTGGTCAATGTGTTAATAACTCTCTTGCTTGAATATATTTCGCCGAGAGGTACCATTCTGTAAGGCGTGGTTCAACTTACATTTACAGTATGAACAGAATCATAAATCACTACTTCTTATTAGTGTAGGATTACGGTATGAACTATCAGTATAAGGCCTGACAAATGAAAGATCTTACTTAAGATCGATATAAGGCCTGATAAATGAAAGATCTTACTTAAGATCGATCGCGACGATGAAATCGCGTGAACTCTGCCCGAGGTCTAAAGTAACTCTGTGAAATTGGCTTTTTGATGGAAAAGATACTAAAAAATTCGAAAATCTGTTGCAAGGTCTCACGAGGGAACGATCCCAACTTAAGGTGGCGAATTGGAATGAACCGCATACCATTAGAAGCGTCTTGATGGCCTGATTCCAAATCTACCTTCCATGTCTGCGACAACATTATTTGCAAAAAGTTATGAGCGGTTGAAAATGTGAAGTTATCGGGGTTTCAATGCATAATGTGCTTCAAAATCCAACTTGAAAGTGCACGACTAGCATGATATTGAGTGTACTGATTTCATGGAATGCTCACATTCTAAAGAAACACAAATAAGTGTTTTTGAACAGCTAATTTTCGAGAAATGGCGCTGTATATTCGCCAAATTTGGATTTTTCATTGCTCATAGCTTTTACCAGAGGGCTTTAGTTGCTTTTTAGCTGTTCAAAAACACTTATTTGTGTTTCTTTTGAATGTGAGCATTCCGTGAAATCAGTACACTCAATATCATGCTAGTCGTGCACTTTCAAGTTGGATTTGGAAGCACATTATGCATTAAAACCCCAATAACTTCACATTTTCAACCGCTCATAACTTTTTGCAAATAACGTTGTCGCAGATTAGGAAGGTAGATTTGGAATCAGCTCATCAAGACGCATCTAATGGTATGCGGTTCATTCCAATTCGCCACCTTAAGTTGGGATCGTTCCCTTGTCAGACGTGCTGATTTCGCTGCACAACTTTCCACCAGTTTTTTTAACTCTCTCAATGGTGTAATCACATTCTGGTAAACGTTGGAAAACACTTGTTATCCTAGACCTGAAATAACTTATTGTTAGTAAAGAAGCATCACATGAAGTGCAAATCTAAGTTGAATTTCCCTCTACAGAGTGGTATCTCAAGCTCGGCAGAAGACATGAAAGCAAGAGAGTTATCAATGATCAAACAGTGTTCATATTTTTTGGGACATTTTGTTGTACCTCAAAGAAATTGATAATTTGATGTAAATCGTGATTACCATATAGCTGTAATCCTTCACAAAATTCTTTCAATATTGCACTCCTACTTTTCAGACTTCTAGTTCAACTTTTGGCTCAAGTACAGAAGAATTTGAAACAAATATGAGCTAACACAGCTACGAACTTCACTTCGATCGTATCCCATATCCAGCTCTCCGGGAATTCTACGCGTATCTTCATGTTGCTTTCAGGTCTGGCAACCTCAGCGAGGCTGTTCAGATCGATGCCTGATTTTGGCATTTTCGACATTCGCAGAAACACTGTCAAGACGAAGATGATGAGACAGATTACGTAATCACTGAGGAGTACTCTTCAGGCATATGTGTGTTCTGCTGCGGGTGTGGTGGATGAGACTAGCGGAAAGGGTGTTCTAAGGGCATGCTTAGGTGGATTACTGATTTTCGAACCCCTGCATGCTGGCTCTTTGTTTTGCGACAGTAAGGTCCATTAATGAAATCGTGACGACGGATTTGACTGCGTCTTTGCGCCCAGCATAACACCCTAAGGCTAAGGGCATACCTCACGCGATTTCAGTCGCGCCGCGATTTGGCAATACTCCAATTGTGCATGACTCATCGTAAGGGGTATCTAAATGTACGAAATATAGGGCATTTTATCAACTTACCAAAACTAGATATGCTGTGCATTTGGGGTCTCCCAGTATTGAATTTGAAGGTATCTGGCAAATTGCCAGATCGCGTGGCGACTGAAATCGCGTGAGGTATGCCCTTAGCCTAACACAAAAAAGCACTACCTCAACGCTCAGCTCAGTCAATCCAGTGTTCAAGTACTATCATACCTAAGCAGAAAACCATTCGAGTAGAAATTAAAACCAAGAAAATGCGGCTGCCAGAAGGTGCGTGCGTGTCGCGCGCGGTCGCGCCATCGTCACGATTTTTCAAACGCCCTGTACATGCCTCATTATGAATAAGAAGTGCTCTCATGTAAACCCGGTACACTCCTAGAGTAAATAGTCTCTTCCAACTATTAAAATTGACAAGGCATCTAGTATTTCCACTAATTACTTCGTAATAACCCATCATATCAAAAGTGATTGAGATAGTTACATCTAGCATCCAGCTATCTATAAATTCGTCCAAACTGAACTAACTTATCATAGAAAGTAGGATCGAAGTAAGTGACTGAGATAGATTGTGAAGAGTTAGTGACAGCAGAAACTGAAAGTGTTAGGTGCTAAAGAGAAGCGAAGCAGCACAGAGGAGACTATTAGCATGGGTAGGGCTTTGTTATAACAACTGGCTACTTATAAGTTAAAGATGTTAGATGAACACATAGAAAGAGACATGCATGCGATGATGAAACGCTCCTTTGAGTAAGATTAGATGTGAAAATTTTTCAGCGTTTCAACATCGCCAGATGAATCTTCAGAGATTATTGATATGCTCTGAAAATCCATGCTAAACCAAAATTCAAACGCACTTTGAGGTTCCGGTTGTCGATATAAGTATGCGTCTGTCAAAACAATCAGCCCAGCGTTCTGCAACACTGCCAAATAAAAACAACTATTTATAATAAATTCAAGCTCCTTACATCAAAAATGCTGGCTGCGTCTTTACCTCCAACACCCCACCAAGGATTCCAGATCGACCTCTAAATTGACAACGTGACCCGGAGAAGAAAGAAAAAGCAATTAGAAAGGAATAAGACGAAAAAATTCAAAATGTTTTAAAACTGAAGTTGAATAAATTTTCTGTCAACCTTTCTTCTCCTCCTTTCGACAGCTCCTTCCCATGGGCGGAAGCCACCGCCACTGTAACCAGTAGTGTCGTATTCTTCAATGTCCGATTCCACCTAAAACAAAAAGCTTCAAAGGAAAAGTTGGATTTGGTAGTGCAATAAGATAATATCAAATAAATTTGCAGTTTCGAGCAAGAGAATGAATGAGCGAAAACTAAATGAGAAAATGGGAATTGGCTGAGGATAGGAAGGTGAGAGACAATCTTATATAAAGGTGTAGAGCTCAAATGGCTAAAATGTACATATGCTTGACAGTTAATAATGTGTTTCACACTTTCACGAACTGGCCTTGTTTTTTCCGCTTGACTTCTGTTTACTCCTAATTTTTTCTTCCAAATTTTTAACCCGAATACTGCTTGTAGATGCACAACACAGTGCTACCTTAGCATTGTAAACTTCCTCTATTCGTGGTATTTCGGCAACATCAAAGGCAGCGGCTCGACAGAATGACAGCTTTGCCATATTCATCGTTCTCGGTTCCCCTGGATGATGAGCTAAACCCAAGCCGTGTTTTGCAGCTTCAAAAAATATCAATAACCCGCTTTCAGACGTGCAAAGTACTATTCTATTTGGGCGGATGGCGTAAGCCTGCCCTCAAGAGCGCGATTGGCTCGTGAGTGGAGACACCGTAACCATCTCGGCGGCAATTGGATTATTGGCTCCAGCAGCCACTTTCGCGACCCGCCCAAATAGCACTTTTCTCGTCCGGGAAAACGATTTATTGATATCTTTAAAAGCTGCAAACCACACCTTCAGACTCAGTTCTTCCAAAGGAGTCAAAAACGCTGAATATCCCAAAGTTGTCATCCTGCCGAACCGCTGCCTTTGAACCCACGGCGAGGGTGAATCCGGACATGCCAGCTAGTAGTCTATATGCTTCCCCCCCCTCCCCAACTTTTCCCTTTCAATTTGATCACCATCAATCGCGCTTTCGATCTATACTTTGTTGACTTGCATCACAACAGCAAATCAAATATGTGGAAGATGCTTACCAGTTGTGGAGTGATATCATTTCCAGACTTCAAAAGAAGCACCGACTGGTCGACCGCTAACAGGCCTACGTAAGAATCCGGATCAGCCGTTACCTTGAAGGACACTGGCTCCCCTGGTTCAACAGTGGTCTTATCGATTGACAGTGTCACCTAAAGATATGGTTTCGCAAGTTTTCAAAAACAAGTAATTTGGCGGAAGGATAAAAAAGAGTCCTCACATTATTCCGGAAGAGACCATCAACTTTGAAGTCAGTGGCGTCAACGAGAATTTCCTGGTTGCTAGATCGAATTGCATACACAATCAAACGAGATTTTGGAGCCATCTGAATGATTATTCAAGTAAGCCCCGCATTTGTGTTTTAGGTAATCCGTCGCTTACATCGTTAGTTGCCGTAAAGGAGATTGTTGTGTGGTCAGAATTTACAGGCATTTCTTTCGAAAGCACAATGGCTCCACGAGACATAACCTAAATCAGAAACCATTACATGGAACATGCTACATTCATTAGATAGGAAATTTCTGCGCTTTTTGGATTTTTCTTGAAGGCATGAATAAAAATGATGCAAATGCGAACCTGATATGTAAGCACTGGTAAGTTTTCAGTAGCTTTCACAGAGAATGAGAGCGTCTTGCCGACGTCAACGGCTCCCTCATTGTCAGCAATAAGCTGCAGGTAAGAATTCGATGGTGACTTGCCGGCTTCAACATAGAGACTGCTGTAGATCACAGCGTTTGTGAAATTATCTTTGCCAGTTCGATCGTAATGTGCCTGTAAAAGATGCAAATTTGCAAGATCCTTCTTTATAAAAAATATTACCTCTATTCTGGCACTGGTACAATTCAAGGGAGGTTGAACAGCCAGCACCGTAGTGCCATGAGCGTCTAAATCGACAATCTTCACTTCCTTGTCCTCGTGCTGTGTTGGCGCGTCTGGGTTGAACGGGTAGTTGTAGAACGTTGTAACCTGGAAATAGAGGATTACGTACAGCGCTAAAGAATTCATCGTTCGCACCTGCACTCTTCGAGGAACAGTGGCCTTCACTGGTGTGTCATCCATCTGCTTCAGGGCAACGACAACATTGTAAGTAAGACCGGGTTTGAAGGTATCTCCTTGTTTTTCAATGTCTAATTTTACATCATAGCGATGCGTGGAGATCTGAAATAAGATTTTATGTATGAAGTGCAAAATAGGGAATTCGCATGTATGAGTGTTGCTTTGAAGACATATAATCTGAAATATTTTTCGCCTTAGTAACTGATTGTTCTTTTCCAACTCCACCTAGATGTGCTTGGGTGAATTCTTTGCTCACAAATCTTCGCAAATAAACTTGTATAAGTACTTCATCAAACTAATCAAAAAATGCTGGATGGCCGCATAGTGAATCCGATGTATGTTTTATGTAGCCCGACGTATTCTTCACTAATCTACGTCATCTTGTTGATCACTGGGTTTTGACCTTGGGGCTAAGACAAAATTTGTGACCCTTCGTCACCGATGCATATTCGATTTGCAGGGTGAATAAACACACTTATTATAAACAATGAAGGTTTATAAATGTTGCTTGCTTTCCTATCCATTCTTTCACTATAGGCGACCCAAAAATACAGGGTGTCCCAAAAAAAATGTATCGAACGTTTGATCTCCAATAGCCTCCCTATATGGAAAGCTTTCCCGGATCTTTGAGTGTCATACGGTAGAGCTAGGTTCAACTTAGATTTACAGTATAGAGCTAATCACCGATTTCTCTTAGTTATTGTAGGATTACGGTAGAAATTTGGACTAATAAGCTCCAGACAGGCGAGAACTGCTTTAAAAAAATTCCAAAAAACCGAAGGACGTTAAAGTGAAGTTTTCGAGGTTGCTGATCTAATTATAAAGTATTCCGCTACCGTGCTCCTCATCTTCCTACGGTATGCACACTGTAACGCTAAATTTTTTTCTTTTTTTTTAAATTTACTAAATCAAGTTGCAATTACAACAACAAGTCGTCAAATGCCTTCGCGTTAGCCAAAGCGTTAAAGTGCGCATACCGTGTGAAGACGAGGAGTACGGTAGCGGAAAACCCCGAATTAAAATCAGCATCCCCGAAAACCTCAGTTTAACGTCCTTCTATTTTCTGGAATTTTTTAGAAGCAGTTCTCGCCTGTCGTAAGCTTAAAATTAGTTGAAGATTCCTACCGTAATCCTACAGTAACTAAGAGTAATCGGTGATTCGCTCTACACTATAAATGTAAGTTGAACCTAGCACCGTATGACACTCAAAGATCCGCGAAAGTTTCCATTTAGGAAAGTTATCAAAGACCAAAGTTCGATACATTTTTTGGGGCACCCTGTATAGAAAAAAATCATAGTATGTAACATTTGCAAAATGTAATATTGAACTTTATGTCCACAAAAGAAGAACTGATGAAAACGAAAATTGGGAATTCTCACATGTTGTGTTCCATTGCGCTGGATGTCTGTCAGATCCTCAGTGACGGTTGCGATTATTCGTATGCTACCTCCTCCGAAATCCTGGGTGAAAGGTATTATTCACACACCGCTAAGATTGACTATGTAACTGACCTGCACTAATTTATGCTTCTTCATTTCCTCATTCGTGAAAATCACTGTCGCTTCACCCATATTATTCAACTTCACAGTCCTTTCTATTTGTGACTCCTCTTCGACCTAAACAATGCACATCAGCACAGATACATAAGAGGTTATAACTTTTTACCTGAGAGGTCGTTCCGTCATCGTTGACAATAATAGGTTTGGGTATCGGGTGCCATCGATGCCAAGGCAGCTCCAAAGTAACCTTAGCTTTACCGGCAACTCCTTTTCCATAGGTATACCTAGACAAATAAATTGTAAACACATTCTGCGGAATAATTTCCTGAAGTTCTTACTTGGCATCAACAAGTATAGAAAGATCGTCGTTGACCGTAATAAATGGTGGCGTCTTGATATTCACTTCGAATTTCGGCAACACGTACTAAATTTGTACTTGTAAGACTTTTTTTTAGATTCATGTGCAATATTGAGTAACAAACTACCTTTTCAACAGAGAAGGTCTTCATATATTTCAGCTTGTTAGCAGTCTCAACTTGTATCTGCCATTCTCCAAGTGGAGGCTCGGATGCCAATTCGAGTTCAGATGAGAATACTCCTACATTATTATGTAGCCGACTTCATTATGCCAGAAGCAGACTGGTTATGTTTATTTCGATGTTTATTTCTACTCAAACAGTTCTAAATATTATATTTACCGCAACTGGAACGCAACAAAATACACAGGGTACTCCAAAACCGATCCCATTTGATTACTGATATCAATCTTGCCCTGATGTTTCTCGTTTCCTTTGGGAATCATTCTGCAGGATTAGCTTCAATTTGAAATTACAGTATGGAGCGCATAAATGATCTTCCTTATCATTGCAACATCACAGAATTTACAGCATTATAACACGCTGACTTAGCTGCAGTCTTAAAATGTTCCCAAAACATTTAAAACCTGCGGTGGTGTCTTTTAAAGTGTCGATTTCTGTAAATAAATTAATACAGGTTTCTAAAATACTTCAGATAAAGTAATCACATGTGAAAAATTTCTCCAGTACTGCTGGTGTACATGGCGCTTTAGAGCAAAAATCACGAGAACATGTAATGTTGTTACTGGAATCGACAACCCCAACTTGTAACAATATGTCCAGCTCTTTTGAAGTCTTTTGTTGATTCTCAATGGTTGAAAGCATTTTTTCATACTTGCTACCATGATCATACTTTAACGTACACCGATCAATGATTTTTCCATACCAAGATTCAAGATGAAGCCAACTCCGCAAATTTATACCCAAAGGTTGGCGAAAGACATTGAAACAAGGTTATTAACCATCAAGTACTTGGAACATTTTTCTATATATGCATTTGCATCTGTAGTACTCCAGTATTGCGCGATAAGGTAACGAGCAGCTTTTTTATGTCGTTTCAATTCCCTTTGATAATCTTGAACCCGTCACATTTCAGCATTTGCATTTGCGTGGGAAATTCAGTAACCCCATCAAACTAACAGCAAGTCTGATACTGTTGTAAAACAGCATAATATGACAAACAACAGTGTAGAAGTGAGAAATATCTCTACAGATTTGAGGTATGACATTGCAGATATTTTCAAAAGCAATGAATTCTTTCTTCGAATTATCGGTAAAAGAAAAAGTAAATGCAGTTTCTAGATAGGTCTATTGACTTATAATCGGCAGCGTTTCTCGAAACACATAAAAGCTGGGGCAGACCAGAATCAAAATTTCCACTTATCTCCACTGCTCCTAAGTTCGCTTTCTAGAGTTTGTATTTGAAAGTTTAGCTATAATAAAATTTACAGCAGATGCTCAGGCCTCTGACTCACCTTTTGTCAGCGGCTTGTCGAGATATTGACTAATCACGTTTTGATTTGGATCGTAGATCTTGACTGAGACTGTGTCCTTGTACGGGGTAAGCGATGGCGAAACCACAATGACTCGATATTTCACTGAAAACTTCTTCCGGTGAATTTGCAAATCCAAAATCGATAATTTGACCAAAATGTGGGACAAAATAGATCCAAAAATTTTACGCTTACCCACTGATCCTGGTTTATAGATAGCTTTGTCAGTCTGCACAAAGATGGAGAGACTTTTTTGGTTATACTGTACAGACTTCTCCTCTTCAAAAAGCACTTGTGAATTCAGCGTCTCACCTCGAACGTACACCTAAAAAACTAATAGCTAGTAACAATTAGCGCTCAAAAAAACATGAACAATAGCAGCAGCAAAGAAGGACAAAGCATGCAAGTTGTGAATAGAATGGCTTTTGCAAACATACTTTATAATTCATGGCTGGTGACAGATCGGCAGAGACTGTGTCGATGGTGACGGTTTGTGGAACACCTGAAAACAGAGCATTAGTTTGAGATCCATTATCACAATTAGAAGCCTTTAAGTAGTGAAATTAAGGTTTCTTTCTTATTCATTTCTTTCTTTCGTATGCCATCTTGTCTCGCTACGGATAATTTATATGGAAACCTTTATCCTCCTTTTTCCATATCATAGAGACTTGATGGTGTACTTTTTGAGATAAAATATTTTTTGTTTATTTAAGCTTTTCAAAACCAACAAGCCTGACTAAAAAATTTTTTGCAATTCAAGTAGCTTTTTGAAGCTTTTTTGATAAAAATTTCTATTCTATCCATTTATCAGAAGTATATTTTAAGGTAAATAAATCGAATTATGTATGGCACATATTTAAGTCCAAAAAATTGTCTTGTTACTTACACAGTCTCTTGGAACCTTACTTTTCAAAGTTCGTGTACATACTTCTTACCCCTAAACAAACTTACTTTTCACTTTTCAGTATTGAAAATAAGCAGACCTTCCTCTCTTAGGATTTTCGGGGAAGATCTGTAATACTCTTACTAGGTCTAAGAGCAGGAATGGAACGGAGCCTTTTGGTTATTTGACATTGTGAATAGAAAACTTTTCTTCTTATTTTTGTCAAAATTGTTCTGCAAATTCTCTAGATAGTATGGTATTTGAAAAAGAAAGACGCCCACAAAACGGCGTAAAGATCGGGAAAAGGTCTAATGAATAAAAACATAAATATCTTCGAAAAAAAAAAACAAGAATTCAGCAAATGTAAAGTCTACAATTCTCACCCTGCCGCACATTCTTCACAACCCTTGTTGCAACGGTATCGTTTTGTTCCGTTCGTATTTGTACCCGTACGATATGATCCTCTTCTGGACTTTTCAGAATGTTAAAGGATACCGCATATGGTAACCCAGGTCGAACGACGGCTGGAGCGACGACCATATAAGTTCCGGCACTGAAAAAAAAGTGCGTTCTATAAAATGAGCAGCTGACCAAAATTATCACTTTAGGCCTTCTCAGAGTATGTGTGTAAATGGGGAAAACCGTGGCGCTTTCTTGAAATTTTTTTAGAGTCTTGAATTGCGTTTTCAAAAAATTAATCCACTTTTGGAACAGTGCAAATTTATTAGCTTGTCTCATATTTTTTTTTCCCAGCTTGAAATTCATACCTCATTATTCAAGAACGAGATGCCTACAAGGGTTTTGAGCAACGAATTATTCCTTGTAAATAAGCTATACAGCCACATATGTGGAAGGAACACGGAACCTATAGAGTCATAAATCAAATTCTACGTTTTCTAATCTCGATTTTCAGCCGATGCCTTATTCAGAAAGTGTATACGCAAGCGAAAAACTTGAAAATTTTTTCTTCAAATGGGATACGATAAATTTCACATTTAAGCCTTGAGATATTTCAAATTCAGGCTTCATAGATTAGACTTTATGGAAACCGAACCTTCTGGAAATGTCAAAAGTCATTTTGTAGAACTTGCTTCGCTCTAACAAATGATACACCTCGAAACCTGTTCGAAACAACGGAATACTATGATTTAGGGTAAGAAATTCGAGTCGAATCAATTTTCGAAATCTCTTTTTCGCACTCACTAAGTTTTCGGTGCTTCCGTAGTGGTAGTGGGAAGCGTGGGCAGAATCGGTGCCTCATTCGTGGTCGCGATGGGTTCCTCCTTGAAAAGCTCGGTCGTCGACTCTTGCGTGACGACGCAGGGCAAGAGCGGAATCAAGGCCACGAGGGCCACCGCAATTATCATGCCCGTTTACGGAACTGAAATCGACGTGAATGAGATGAAATACGGCGCGCGACGGATGCGATACGGCGTTCGAAGTCAGAGCGACGGAGGAAAGAGTGTAGCAAGGAAATTTTTTTGCGTCGGTGGATTATCGGGCGCTTCCCAATGAAGAAGTTTGGGGAGGAGATTTGCTGCTGTGCTAGATGTTTCGCGTATGGTTGCGATGTAAAGAGGATTGGGAAAGTTGGAGAAGGAAGCCATAGGGAATAAATTGCGCGTGGCCATGAAATCAGATATGTCTTCGCTGTGAAAGCAGATATGTCATCATGCAGAATAAGGGGGGGGGGGGTGAGGTCAAGCCTAAAAAATACCAGAAAACATATCAAATTACTCTGAAAATTTCTATCATCTAAGTTTGGTCAAAGTTCACCAAAGCAACAGCGAAGACCTAGAAAACACTCGATAAAGCATTGCCACTCTTTTAACGACGAAATATAATTTTTACATTATTTTGGAACAAAGTTGATAATATGTCGTTTCTACCACTGTTTGGCTCTTCCCGATTCTTTTGTTTATATATGTGAGACTAGATAATTACCGGTCAGAATAACGCTTGAACTTTGAGAAAAAAAATGAAAGGCTCCCAACAGTGGATTGATTTTTTCGTTTTCTGATGGTGGCCTAGAAAGCGATTTTTTGCGCAATCTTCGGAGCCAGTTCTTTGATTTGAATGCAAACTTTTCCTGGTAGTCACGAATTGCTAAGCGAATAAACTTGGAAAACGCGGAATTTTCGTATCATAAACATGACAGAATTTTCTGATTTTTTCTTTCTTTGAACCTATAAAATTGAAACAACACTTCAGAAAACTTAGAGAGTAATTCGATAGTAATGGAGGAATAGAAGGAAACTTCGAGTGGACTGATAATAATGGAATATTGATGTATGTACAGTTCCGAAAAGCTTTTCAAATTGAAATTCTCTTTGGCTGCTAAACTTCAATACTGGAGCCCTGCTGTGGTATTCAAAGTAAAAGCGATTTAGCAGAATAGCGAGAATAGGAACGCATATAATATAAGATGTACCAGTTCAGTTCACGAAGTTTCGAATAAGTTGCGTAAAATCAGTTGATTCTGATGTAAAAACTCATAGCTTAGCATTGAAGTTCTACGCTAGATACGTGCGATGTTAAGAAGAGACCCTGAAGTTGACAAAAACAACCAAACAAATTAGAGAATGAGAACTCGTTTTCGAGGACAAACAGGTATTAGCCGCAGTTTGGTTTGGCTGACAGCGTAAAGCGCCTATCGCCCCCTGACGTAAGTGGTATTGAAAAAAACTGCGAACTCTTCGAATCTATATTTGGTAGCAGTTGTGAAAAGAGGAAGTGATCAAATTGAGTGATGGCGACTTCAAGGAGGGGTCGCAGTCCGAATTAGGGTCGAACGAAACCAGAAATAATGTTTGAATGCTTTTCGCCGCTATGTACATAACCTAAGCGGTCTGTCCAATTTTATCTGAGAAACTGGTCTAAGCCATTTTGCCCTAAGAAAGCGATATGCTAGCTTATACTTTTTTACTATCCTAAAAACAAAAGAATTTCAAATTTAGGTGAGTTTGAAACTGAACTAAGGGACCTGCGAGGGTGAAAATTCATTGCTGTGATTCTGAGTGGAGAAGCTGTATGACCATATATTTATGAGAAAGGAGCAGATACGGGAAAGTTTGAATAACTAGTAAATCAAATTTCTTTCTAGCTGTCAGACATTGAAACTATAGCAAGTCTATGTATGAACTTCTAATTCAAAAGGTATATATATGCATGACCGAGTGGAAGTTCCTCCGAATTCAATTAAACGGGGGTACAATTTCCAGATTTCCCGGATCTTTGAAACTTTCCTCGCTTTAAACGTTATATAGAGCTCTATGCATATGTTTGAATGGCATTTTGCGGAGTTTGCTTTGCACTATCGAATGGTACTCTGAAGAGAATTTAAAATGTAAAAAGACTATGACTTATAATGGTGAGACAAAGTTGAAAAAAATTACAAGACAACATGATAGATAAATCGCTATCAAACGCTTGATTCACTCCAAACTCATGTAGATTTAAGAAAATCGCAAGAAAATAAGAGTTCTCGATACATCATAGCAAAATTTCAAGAGCACTTCCTAAAGAATTGAGATTTGTGAACAAAAAATTTTTAATACGTTTTCTTGTATTGATTTTCCGTAACGATTCGGATCACTGCTGAAGCAAAGTTTTTTTAGCCGTTTTCCCGTAGTGAAATCCGTGGATCTTAAGTAGGTCTTTTAGTAGTTTATTTCTGCTAGATCATTCGTGAGAGCAAAAGCTTTTCAACGGTACACAGTAGACCCGCGTTCTTCTAGTTCAAAAAAGCCAAATAAGTTTGAAGTTGAATATTTAAGCCTTTGAAGTATTTGAGCGCAATAATTTAGGGCAATTACCTAAATAGGAAATACTCAATGGTACACAGCCGATATACTCCATGATATGACAAATGAACTTGAGATAGATCGTAAAAAATTTTTAGTTGCGTATTCTGGCTGGAAGCTTTGCCATATTCTTGATCTTTTTCTAAACTGAATTTGGGAAAGAGAAAGAAATGAAGTGGGAAAAGAGAACTTCATATAAGAGTTCTGAAGCATTTGGTCCATCCAAAGATATTCGATACCCGGAACTAGTTCTTTTCTAAATCGGAAAACCGGTCAGAATCTAAGCTTTCAGATCCAACACCTCCCTCCCTCCCGCACACATCTAACACATCTAACAGATTCGTCCTTGAGGTCGTGAGATCAAGAATGTTGTAGATTTCGCAATCATAAGTAAAAGATCAAGTACAAATAGACAATAAGGACAACTTCTTAATTTTCCCGCTTAATTCACTTTATAGAGAAACACTTTGAGTTCTTAGGAAGCTCAATAGCAATCAGCCTATTGATATAGTGAAGGCGTCGTCAAATCGACGGTGCCTCAAAAAGCCGAGAAAACTTTATTTGTTCTGAGTAGAGTGCTTTCTTGGTTTTCACATTACGGGAGACCGAATTAACGCAAGGATTTTGTTCGTTTTCTATACTAAGAAAGCGATATGGCGGTTTAGCAGCAATAACTCGTGAATCAAATTTCATGTAGTATGCTGAAAACTTTGTCAAAAAATGTCTTACGAAAAAGTTGCCCTATAATTGTTGCATTAAAACCTCTGAAAATCCAAACGAATTTTTGACATTCAAAAAGTAACCATCCCACAATTTACTACGGTAAAGGGTACTCAACCCAGATATATCAGCCAGAAGCGCTAGATAGTGGCATGATAACGGCCTACTTCAGCACCCATTTAAATTCAGTCAAAGGACATACAATCAAATATTGCCAAAATTTTAAAAACAACTATTACCAAAATGAAGCAGATTATGTATAAGTTTTCTGTAATTCTGTATCAAAAATGAATTCATTCCCACAAAGCTGATCGCTCCGCGCAAAAATCAAGGTGAGGTGACTTTTAGTTGTACATCCGAGAACTTGACCTGATAGAAACAGGGCTCGGCACGAGGTGGCTAGATGAAAATGGAAAAAACGAAGTCCCCCTTGACTTTTGGGAATTTTTACGAAGTCCCCTTTGACCCTCAACCAAATTTCCTCTAAAAACCTGAAAAATTCCCCAAAATCCCCCAAAAACGAAACGTCGACTAAAAAAAAGGTCGCCGTCGCCAATTTTCCGTGTCTCTTCGGTCACAAAAACGAAACCCCCTTTGCTTTTCGTCCCAAAAACGATATCCAGCTTGCTTGTAAGCCACCTGTGCCGAGCCCTGGGTAGAAATCTTTAGCTGTGTATTCGCTTGAGCTGACAGAATTGTAAGTAGTTTTTAGGGCATACCCAAGAGCACAGAGAGTACACTCAATAAAATAGAATAAAGACCAAAATAACTTGCTAGAGCTGTCGTAAATCCACAGTGGAGAAAAAGAATTATGAAGACCTTGCGGGCTCTTTTTTATTGCTTTAAGATAAACTAAAACCCTACTACACCTAGTGCTAGCAAGGACACAACTGACCGAAAACTAGTTACAGAGAGTAGACATTGTTATTTTTTAGACATGATTTTTGAGAAATCTAGTAACGTAGCGCTAGAGCAATAAAAAAAAAGTTGTCGCACATTTACACCATTGGAATGATTTCGCTTGTTTCGAATGCATTCGTCAAATACTTCTTCTGGAGATTGATGATGTCGATGAAATCACCATTCCGTGTAAAGGTTACTATGTAGGTTGATTGCGAAAGTACAAACATCGTTAGAACTGATAAACTCTTAGAGCTTGCGGATTCATCACGCATGAAATGATTGGGGTCTCATTTTACAAAATTATGTTCGTTACTGCAAAAGTTAAATGGGAAACTAGTTGATGATTCCTATTTTCTTGACCTTCTATAGTAATTTCTAATTGTTACAATCTCAACGTTGAATGAAACTTTTTTAATCAAAAAAGACGCTGTCTGAAGAAAGACCAGCTGCAGTTCAGAGGAACCATAATCAAATGTTTACTTACGAGATGATTGTGGAGGTGGATGAGCACGGAAAAGGAGAAGATATAAGTTAGCGCAAGAAGTCGTACTGGTTTTCTAGCTATCATAACTGCTAGCGAATGTCGATGATATTTCTCTATTGATTCTTCGGTAAAAAAATAGGCAATCTCGAAAGAAAGAATTTCACACGCAATTCAACTTTTGCGAACGTGAGAGTGAAAAAGTGAATTTTTTATAGCTCGCAGATGCAATTAGCCCAAGGGAAATGCAAGATGGAAAATTACCTTCGCGCAGTTCCTGCAAACAATTCTTGAAACTTTTTAGAGTGTTTTCTGTCTAATTGAGAGTAGGGCTATAGAGAAGGGCTTATAAGAATAAGTTAGGCGTAAAACTACAAATAATACATCTAAAATATACAACGATGATTTATTTGAAATTTAAGACGAGTAGTTCGTTCTAATTACCAAATCGAAATACCACCAGATTTTTTACTAAT